CCTTCTTTGCTCAAAACAACAATACATTTGCGTTTCTTCCTTAACAAATTGAGGGATCTTCTTAAAATGTTTTCATTTATTCACAAAACAGAAAATTCAACGAAAGCATGACACAGATCGAAAATTGTTGCTTCGTTGCCTACTACCACACGCTACGATCCAAACCACTGAAATGGTAAAAAATATTGAGAAAAGTCGGCTTCAGAGACTCATTCACACTAAATGTTTTGCAATCATTCGTCTGAACACTAAATTTGTGTTGTTGACAAAATATTATCTGTGCGCAATTAGAAATATTACGATGATGTCCATGTTTCTACCGCTTTGAAAATTATTGATATCATCTCTCGAAGGAATATGTAAACTTTCAAATGTCAACTGTCTGCGCTTTAACTTTCAATTTGTTGGTAAATTTGCATTTTCTCCTATAGTTTAATCTATAAGTAAATTTTCATTCGTCTTTTCTGTTCGTCACCATGATGTGGATGGATCAATGAAGTGATAAGATAAGCAAAAAGAGCAAACATGCTGAATGGCGAAGGTGGAAGACGGACTGTTTGCTGGAGCTGTGCAAAATAGTGGAACAATCAGCAGTATAACAATAGCTGCCTTCTCACAATCAGCAAAAGTAAAGCATTCGGTGCCGTCCATCAATGGTTTACTGTCGATATGAGCTTGCTGGACGCGATTCGTAGTTTGGTGGGCTTGCTTTTGTTTAATTGTTGCAAAGCAACTGCAGAAGGCAAGCCACGAAGTGAGTGTTATTGTTTTTGTTATTTTTATGTCGATTGCGGTACAGGTATTGCTATTGACATGAATTGTTTTCAAGGAATTATAACTCGTTGAATTAATATTCGTTTTTGTTGCTGCTATTGGTTTACTTATCAATCTCATTCAACCGTGAATTATGGTGAATCGATTTGTTGCTGCTGTTGAAAGAATATACTGCTCGTCATCAGTTACTTTCAAGAATGAAGCATTTTAAACATGGTGCTTTATTTTTAGAAATGCGACAATTTGTTGAGCATCTCTTGTCATCTCTGAGCAAAATTTTTAGACTGATGGTGCAGTATACGTGCGATTGACCCGTTGAATATGACTATGCTTCCACTTTCCTTGTTTCCTTGAACGTGAAGTATGAAGGGGATTTCGGTGAAATGTGATTGCACCCCTTTTCTTGTCTCTATTTCTGCCTTCTCTCTTTCTAATCACAAATGACATCCACAGAAAACGGGAGCAGCCTCAAGAAGAAGGTGATTTTAATGTAAAAGGAAGTATAATAATGTCTTATTTGTGTTAAAATCTTGAATTCGAATTAGATAATAAAAGTTAACATCTTTAGGGATATGGTTTTCGAAAGGGACTCTTGTATTACTGAATAATTGCTGTGATTTTACTCGTTTTCGGCTGTGTTTGTGCATTCGTTTTTAGCGTTGATGATTGTTTCATTTGCTCATTCGTGTCGTCGATTACCAATTTATTCAGCCTTTCAATTTGTAATTAATATGTTATTGTTGTAGGTTCTTTTGACTTTTCATGTTCTTCGTGATGCAATACTTTGAAAGAATTCTTCCAGTAAAAAGAGCATAATTTTTGGAATTTGAAAGAAATTTAGAAACCGTTTAAGATTCAGTTGGATGGTAATGGTCTGAATTGTTTTGCTACTGATTTTCTATGGATGATAAATTTATCTGTAATACATAATGTGCTCAATAATTAATGGCGTTCTTCCACTTTCCTGCTGAAACAACTGTGAATGTTTCAGAGTATGTGCAAGGGCTTATTTAATACTAATTATTGCAAACTTACTTACTTTTGACTGCGCACGGTTAGCGTCATCGTGAGTTTGTTCCTTTTTAATCAACTGATTGAGTTCGCGATTGTCTATAATATTGAGATATCAGTAATTGCTGTAGAATTAGTATGAACATTCCTGTTATGTGCGTTCATCTAGAATTCATTTTGTTTTATTCGTCATTCACTCAGATTCGTTGTTCTTATAATATTTATGATAATCGCTTATCGCAAATCGCATTGAACGTATCGTGTGTCACGAATCACATTCAATGCTTTAACGTTGTTTTTATTCTTTTGTATAGCGATTTTATTTAAGCCGGAGAACCTGAAATATATTTTAATGCAAAGTACGATTCCGTGTATTCAGAGGTAGAGAAGCGTTCAAAAAATCGCGTTGTGATGATGATGAAACGAAGAAATGAATAAGCTGAAGTAGCGATTGTTCAGTTCGAAAGGCATTCCACTTTGATAACAGTTTTGACAAGAAAGCATTTAAACGAATTTTAAGAAGCAGAAAGTCAATCATAATTCCATAAGAACTTCAGGACTTAGTTCATACATGACTATTAGAATGAAGCGAATTTCGTGAATTAACTGACTCTGTGCGTGCCAATGTATAATTGTTGTTTATGTGCAGATATTGTTCAGAATCGTTTCCTCGTTTTGCAGTTATTAGCGCATCACGAAGTAAATGCTGTCATCATTGTATTCATCATGATTTATGTAATCATTGTTGTTATGAATTTTTTGGACTTTTTAGATGATAACAGTCTTGAAAGGAATAATGATTGTTACAGTGCTGAATCGTTCCATCGATAATGAATCAATATGAACCGTTTTCCCGAAGTCCATCTCTTTCTTGCCTTTTCATTCATTTTGTGGAACTTTAGATTTCTGAATGGAGGGAACTTGTTCTGTTACGTATGTATGTTTCGCACTGCTGTATATATTCATCTAGATATTGTTACATTTTGATTTCATAATGCAGTGTTTTATAATTTTGTAATGTTTGTTGATAAGTGAATCGTAAATATTAATACGCGGCCCTGATATAATTAGGGGAAAATAAGTGAGAGCAGATCGTTGTTTGATTCAATTAACGAGGTTGATTGTGAGGGAAGATCAGGTGCTGGTAAGCGTGAGGAATTGAGAGATCATAATGAGAAGCATGCAGCGAATCCGTTCAGAAATCAATTTTAGATGTCGAAAAAGCATGGGCATTTGCATTTGCTAATTTGCTGATTACAGTTCTATGAAAGGCTTGAGGCAAGGGTTTGTCGGAAGTATTTTGCACAAGAGATAATATCGTTATTGTCCGTAAATAACCGTTTGAGTGTTGTGTAACTGTTTCCACTTCAATAGCGTGCGATGTAAAATTCCGTCAAACGCTNAGTGAGCATAGCATATTTTTTGGAATGGAAAATTAGCAGAAGTTATCAAAGCAAATAGAACAATTAATTGAAGAAATTCAAATGTAATCTTCAATTGTGCTTGAAGTGCGTTCAGTTTATCTGTTTTTATGAATATTCTCGTGTGAATTTATAGGAATCATGCGTTTTCTTTTGAAATATATTCGAAATATCGTATTGATGATTGGTCGTATTCAAAAGAACGATTAGAATTCGTTGTATTCCAATATTTATGTAGTGTTTTCGATCATGTTTATAGACTCACAGTCAGAGTTTGTTTCGCTGAAATGTTGGTGAATTTTGATTAGTGAACATTTGCAAAATGTGAAGGGATATCATTTGTTAGATGTGTAATTGTTTTTGGTGAAGTATTAAGGAGGAAAGCATTCATTCAGATGAGCACACGAAAATTATCAATTCTTAATATTGAATTAACCTAGAAGAGTTGCTAAAAATCATCCAATGAAATTGTGTCGATGAATCGCGTTGTTTTCATCTGTTTTGGTGGTTTTTTNTTTTTTATTCGGTTTCATTACTGCGGTACCATCTGTAACAAGCAGATATTTCACTGTTCCTTTTTTAATATTTTGCTTTTTAGTTATCACCTTTGAAGTATTATTGATAGTGATGAGTAAAAACACATTCACTGGTCTATGCGCATTCGGGAAGTGATGAATATCTTATACGGGTGGGTGTATAATGCTATATTTTGCGTTTATTTTATGGAAACTTTTCGGTTCATCTTCGAACAGTTCGATGCTAAATTCCATCTCAAAGCCGTTCCAAAAATGTTCTCCACGAACCATATTGAAATAGTTGGAAACTTCGCAGTAATAACTAGACGATTTTCAAGCCAGACAGCTCATACCTCGCTTCGCTCATAGAAATTCAAAATTTCGAGTTACCTTTCTCGTTTTTACTCATCAGACTTATTGACAAGTGCTTAGTAATGTGGTGATCGATTTCCAAGTTAAGGGTGAGAAGGGTAAAAAGACAGCATTCATGCTGGCTTCAGTCAAATTTTAAGCCTGCTGATCAAATGAATTAGTTAATCGGAAAACATTGACGAGATCGATCATCACAATATTGTGTGATTAGCATTTTTAATTGATGCTCAATTGTTGCTGTTGATAGTGATTCATTAAACGTTTTATTCCAAATTCGGGTATTCGAATGTTTCGATACATATTTGGGTTATTGTATTCGCGATATAGAATAGAATTGTGCAGTTCTGCGTGAGGTTATTGATATATGTGAAGGTTTATGCAAATGACGCAAGTGAAAGTCATATTTTCAACACCATTTCAGCTGTTTTCCAAAATGATAACTTTTTGATATGTTGCTGATTTAATCGATTATAAATTTTTATAATCAGTTAAATCATTAGCATGTTTAAGTTCACTTAGATCCTCAGCATAGTTAAAGGCCAACAGGCAGGTAGAGAGTCGGGGATTCAATCTTGCGAACAGTTCTATTGTCTGCTTGAATCTCAAAGGAGGAAATGAGCAGGGAATATGGAAATGTGGCTGTTTCTGAAGGGGAGAATTTGCATACTTATGCTTGAAAAAAGTCATTTGTTGGCCGTCTCAGGGAGATAGCTTCGTGTTCATGGATGTAACCAACGTTTACGGAATATGGCCAAATTTACGATCAGCTTTCTTCATCGTATTGAAAGCATCCGAGAACGAACATATTCAGTTGAATGTTTATTGTTGCACAGTTGTTTGTCATTCTGAAGTCGTCATGCTTGTTCTGCACATTTCAAAAAGACTGAATGTGATCTTATTCGTTTTGTTGGTAACTTGCAGGGAAGAAGAGCATTCGAAAGAGAAGAACGGCACTGTTACTACTGAAACCTCTACTAGCACTACTGCTTCTATTGCCAGTTCTACAACAACGACCGCACCACCCACCAGCACCAACACAAATTCTACACCTAACAAACCATCATCACTTACTAAAACAACGCTATCGAAATCAGTCGTCAAAACGGATAACGAAACGGATTTATACGACGCGGCGATTGAGCCATCCGGTCAGCAGCAGCAACAGCAGCAGCAACAACAACAGCAGCAGCAGTCACAACTTCAGCAAGCCAAAATGCCGGTGAAATCCGAGTCTAGTTCCGGACTGAATCGTCAAACGAGCCAAAGTTCCGTGACGCCATCATCGATCCATCCATCGCAAGCGCAGTCACTACCTGCACTAAGTGCCGACAAGAGTAAAACGGATTCGGGCCGTCGCTATTGCTGTTACATAGGTGAAACAATCGTTTAATTCATGTCAGGTGTTTTTGTTCATTGACATAATATTGAAAGACGCGAGTGTTTGTCATTGAACACGTTGTTACGGTTGAGGAATGTTTTGAAGTTGCTTTGAGTCAGTTCGTTTGCGTTCCTGAATCGCTTTGCATCGCATTCTTTTTGGAGATTTTTCAGTGGATTAAGAAAAAATTGAAATATATACCTCATGAAGCATATGTGTAAATCAACTGATGTATGAGATTGATGCTTACAGGCAATATGACATGGTGGACAACTGATGTGGATCTACAAACAGTGATATTGTCATGTGGAGCAGCTGATTTGATTGATCTGAAATTCTATGAGAATCGTAATAATGGACAAAGTAAAGGCTTTGCGTTGGCTGTGTTCGGTGCCGAAAGTGCTGTGAAAACAGTCATGGAGAAATTACCACATAAAAGTTTACATGGACAACAGTTGGTTGTATTACCATATACGAAAGCATCACTGGCCAAGTTTGAAGATGCAACAAGACGCATTGATCAGGTTCATCCATGCATCCATTCATCAGTTTTTGATGTCAGTCTCAATTGTGAGGTTGTGTGGAGGATTGTCGCTGCTGAATGGCAACAGCAAGTGGTGTTGTTCAGATTCTCGTCATTCGGTATATTCGGATAGCGCGGAAAATGAGTACACAACGACATATAACACTAGATACAAAAACTCTGCAATGAAACGCAATGTTCCATTATATCAGTTTTCCAGCGTATATGCCCGGGAACTTTCTGCCACAGTTAATATAGTTCAAAGTTCCCTTCCTTCCAGTACGGTAGCTCTGTGTTTACTCAAGCAGTTCCCGTTCATCCGCTCTATCTGTTTTTCAGCGAACCGAGAAGAAGGAACCGAAGAAAGAAGATCCGAAAGCACCGTTCGTTGGTACCATACGATTGGGTCTACCGCCACAGCACAGTCAACCTACTACGCATATGACACTACCACCTCCGATTACACTACGTCCACAAGTTCAGGTATGCTGATTTTAGCTGCCTTTCATCTATCAACTTAAGAATGTCAACTGCTGATCGAGAGCGTTTCATGATTCCGTCAAAAAGGTAGCGGTTAGTAATTAGTGCTGTGACGAATGAATGAACTGGATTGATTTCAGGTGCAAGTTCCACCACCAATAGCAGCGCTAAGACCACCAGCTCAAGTACCGTTGATGATACCCCCTCAGCAGCAACAACCTCCTCAAATCCGTGCACCCCCTCCACCCACTTCACAACCGTTGTCCTTAGGCGGCATGGCTGTCACAAGACCACCCCTGAACCTGAATGCGCCACCACCATCGTTACCACAACAAGTTCAAATGGCTGCAGCAGCAGCAGGTTATATTACACCAGTCTCATCGAACTGCAAATTTATTCGGATTGTTCATATTGCTTTCGTAAGAAATTATTGACGAAGTGATTTGCATTTTCGTTATGGAGTATTTAGAGTAGATTATGAGTGAGTTTCGTTGAAGATCAAATCGTGAGTAATGATGCGTTTCAAGGAATGTTTTCAGCAAATGCAGCCCCACAAATGAATCGTCCTCCACCAGCGCCATTTGCACATCCACCTCAGGCTGTACCACCCATCTCAACTGCTACGTCGATGAACGGTGCTGCTCACCCGCATACATCACACCCACCTCCAGGATTTCCCCCACCAGGTGCACATATCAACCCACAAGTCTACAGACAAAATTTTCCCACAGGTAATAATGCTAAGTAGCTGCTCATTATAGTTTATTACCGTATTGTTGGTTTGGTTAAACGTATGGTTGAAATGAAATTAATCGTAATAGACACTGAATATTATTACACGGAAGCTACAGTTTGATGAACTGATGGTTGAAGAAGTTGAAACGATCCTAGAGCATAGTTGCTGGGCGTTACTTATAGTGATGCATCTGTGTGTGGTAATCATTGAAGGTATCTCAACGCAGTCAGCGGTAGGTGCAAGCGGTTCGGCACCAAGTTCAGTTGAAGGGCTGAGTGAGGCCGAGTTCGAAGAGATCATGAACCGCAATCGTACGGTCAGTTCGTCGGCAATAACCCGTGCGGTCAGCGATGCGGCAGCAAACGATTACGCATCCGCAATCGAAACACTCGTAACGGCCATCTCGTTGATCAGACAAAGTCGCGTCGCCAATGACGATCGTTGCAAAGTGCTCATCTCGTCTCTGCAGGTAATCATGCACCTCCCCACTCATCCCTTAAAGAGATTCATTTGTATATGTTTGTTTGTGACTGAAGGATACACTGAATGGTATCGAGAGTAAATCCTACAACTCGTCGTCGTCGTCCTCTCGCAAACATCGCTCAACACGCGATCGATCCCGTTCGCCATCCGAACGCTCTCGAAAACGTCATCGACGTGCATCGAGAAGTCGGTCGAGATCTCGCGAACGTTACGACTACTCACCGAGACATTCGTCTTCGTCGAATCGTCGTCAGTACTGATCTTTAATCGCATTCTGTCAACAAGCCTGTTCCACATTATCAATGCTTCTACATTCTCATCATTTTCGTTATTTTTCACCAACATCATTTCGACACTTTGTTCACAAGATGATTCAATCTGAAACATTTCATCATGTATTATTTTCTTTCTACATCACCAATCAACTTTACCATTCATCAACTATGTAAAAGGTACAGTTTTAATATATTTTCTTGTTGATCTTTTCGTTTATATTTTTCACTTTTTTGATCCATCAACTCTACGGTTAGTTGTTTTGGAGTATTTATATTTCAGTTGTTATAATTAGGAAGGGCAATAATATTTTCACATCGAGAGATTGAGTGAATCCTATGAAATGGGAAGTCTTGCAACAGAACAGAGATGTTATTTGGTGCTTGGCTTTTTTGACGTATTTTTATCAACTAAATCGAACGTGAAACATTAACGATGTGATTGTATTGTAGTTTTATCTGCAACAAAAATTAGGGTGTGTGATGATTTTGGTTACTTATCGGGAAGAATAGCGCACTAATGTTCTGGTGCTTATTTTCTGTAAAAGGCAATGCGACTATAAATGAAATCGTAAATTCGATTTGATTGTTGGATTTATGTAATTATTAGTACATTTCCTTACGGAAGGAAGACATTTGAGTGCATTCTCAGGTCAGAAAATATAAATAAATCAGTTGAGAAATATGCTCTTATGAAACGATATGCTTGCATTAGTGTATGTGCTTTTGGTGTGAGCTCAAGAAACTTGTGAGGATAGATATCAAACAGAGCGAATTTTTCGAGTAATCTGAT